CTTGGAAAATGTTCATTGAATTGTTTGTGTAGAAAAAAAAAAACAATCACAGACATGCTTCAAAACTGTTTTAATTTAACATTCCAACCTTTCTTGCTATAAAAGAAACACTTAAAAAAGAAAACTGTAGTCAGTTGCAACTGTTTTTGCAGATCAAGCAGAGGAAAAAAATATGGAATCACTCAATGCTGAGGAAAATAATATGGAATCACCAGGTACTTTGCAGTTCTAAAACAAACATCTGCATCAGATTACATCTGCTAATTAGTCTGCAGTTGAAAAAAATGAGTGCTTGCACCCCTTGGTGAGCTGTTGCACCTAGCTTATTGACATGAATCATGGCTCCAACATGAGAGATGTCAGTTGAAACAAAGGAGAGGATTATAAAACTTCTTCAAGAAGGTAAATCATCACGGAATGTTGCTAAAGATGTTGGTTGTTCCCAGTCAGTTGTGTCTAAAATCTGGACCAAGTACAAATTAAATGGGAATGTTGTAAAAGGGAAGCGTACTGGTAGACCAAGGAAGACATCAAAGCGTCAAGATAGAACAAATGTGCAGAAACTGGAATCAATGTCTGGGAAAGAACTGTAAGCCATCGCCTAAAGCAGGGGTCTCCAAAACTATGGCCCTCCAGGTGATGAGGAACTGCAAGTCCCATGAGGCTTTGCAAGACAAGACTCCCAGAGGCATGATGGGACTTGTAGTACTTAAACAGCTGGAGGGTCATAGTTTGGAAACCCCTGGCCTAAAGAAAATGGGATTTACATACAGAGAAGCCACACGAAAATCATCATTAACACCTAAACAGAAAAAAAAAAAACAAGGTTACAGTGGGCTAAAGAAAAGCAATCATGGACTGTGGATTAATGTGATAATTGTATAAAGACAACTGCCTGAAGAAAACATGCAAATTTCCACAATCATTGATATGGGGTTGCATGTCAGGTAAAGGTACGGGGGAGATGACAGCCATTAAATCTTCAATAAATGCACAAGTTTATATTGAGATTTTGGAAACTTTTCTTATTCCATCAATTGAAAGGATGTTTGGTGATGATGACATTTTTTCAGGATGATGATGCATCTTGCCATAGGGCAAAAGCTGTGAAAACTTTCCTTCAAGAAAGAAATATGTCAATGGCATGGCCTGCAAATAGTCTGGACCTCAATCCAATTGAATATCTCTGGTGGAAATGAAAGAAAATGGTCCATGACAAGGCTCCAACCTGCAAAGCTGATCTGCCAACTGTAATAAGAGAACGTTGGAGCCGGATTGATGAAGAATACTGTTTGTCGATAGTTAAATCCATGCCTCAGAGAATTCAAGCTGTTATAAAAGCCAGGGGTGGTGCAACAAAGTACTAGTGGTGTACTGTAGTGTTCATTTTTTTTTTATTAAATTAGTTATTTAGAATCTCACATATAATTTTATTTATGAGAGGTGCATTGTAGTGCAGCAACTAATACATACATACCCTAACAAAAGAGGTGCTGAGAGTGCCAGCAGGGGCCCCCACAAGAGCAGGTTTCGGGGCCACTCTGTCCAGTTCCAGTGCACAGAGCATGTAAGTATGCCATGTTATTTTAGGAAAATTATACTACCTTTACAACTGCTTTTAATTGCTCTGCCTGTTTGGTCTGTGTCGGTCTACTGATTAACTCTTACTTGAAGAGCACAAAACTGAGAGACCCAGGTAATGTGGGATAAAGGATAGGAGGGTTTTTCCGTGTTATCTCCTCTCTATATGTACTCTCCCTGTGATAGGACATTCCACCCTGATCACTGCCACCCTCAGTACTGACCTACCAAATATCTAGTCATTACTCAAACATTCCAGGGACAAAGAACAAGAGGGGGCTGACTGCTACATGCCAAAATATTACAGCTGAGCTCCAGGCTGATTAAAAAAAAAAAAAAAAAAAAAAGACAAGACACAAATGAATACACATCTGTATTTGTAAATACACCAATGACAGGTAAAGTGACAAACACACGTTGGATTACAATGGCATCTGAAAGTGGATGGGATATATTATGCAACATGTTGTGCCTGAAACTGATGTGTTGAAAACGGTCAAGCATCAGGATTTGAGTGACTTTGACGAGGGCCAAATTGTAATGGCTAGATGACTGAGTCAGAGCATCTCCAAAACTGCAGCTTTTGTGGGATGTTCCTGATCTGCATTGGTCAGGAGCAACCAAAAGTCCAAGGAAGGAAAACCAGCAAACAGCAGGAAGGTCATGGGTGGCCAAGACTCACCAATGCAGGGGGGGAGGAAAGGCTGGCCTGTGTAGTGTGATCCAATGGAAGAGGTACTGTAGCTCCAGTTGCTGAAAACTCAATGCTGGTTCTGATCAAAAGGTGTCGGAACACACAGTGCCTCGTAGTTTGTTGTGTATGGGGCTGTGTAGCTACAGACTGCTCAGGGTCTCCATTGCTGACCCGTGTCCACAGCCAAAAGTGCCTACAGTGGGCATGTGAGCATCAGAGCTGGACCACGGAGCAATGGAAGAAGGTGGTCTGGTCTGATGAATTTAAGAATGGTTTGAGGGACACAACGAGGTTGAGGTGTTGACCTGGCCTCCAAATTCTCCAGGTCTCAGTCCAACTGAGAAAAAACAAGTCTGATACATAGACGCCTCACCTCTCAACATACAGAATCTGCTCGATGCCAGATACCACAGCATACCTTCAGGGGTCTAGTGGAGTCCATGCTTTGATGGGTGGTCATAATGTTATGGCTGTAATTTTTTTTTGTAAAGCAGAACTAAACCCATCAATTTAAGGCCCCTTTCACACGAGCGTTCAGTCATGTTTTTTTTTCAAGAAAAAATGGATCAGTTCACATCTGTTTACATCCGTTTTTTGTCTGTTTACATCTGTTTCTCATCTGTTTCATCCGGTTTTGTCTGTTGATATCCGCTTTTCATCTGTTCCGGTTTTTTTTTGTATGGAAGAAAAATAGGGTTTTCGTCCATTAAAAAAAACGGATGTTAACGGATGCAGACATTAACAGATGTAAACATACAATCATCCGTTTACATCCGCTATTCCATAGAAATACATGGGTGTCCGTTTTTTATCCATAAACGGACAGATGAAAAACGGAAATATGGAGCGCTTGTGTGAAAGGGGCCTTACAGTTTAAAAAAAAACGGTTATTTTCCCAGCAAGCCAGGAATGCTGTCACATGACATTTGCATGCGCTCTCAGCCAACCTCACACCTTCAAATGGCTGGTGTCATAACTGATGACGTGTGCAGCACCATGACAGTTACAGATCAGAGGCTACGATGGCAGCTTCCTTGGCTGAAAAGGGTAGGAGGGTTTAGTTCTGCTTTACAAGCACAGCAACTACCTGAATGTGACCTCATGCAATCCCTCTACAGCAGGGCAGCTAGAGTGAGAAGAAGAAGCAGCACAAGCAGGCAATCTGTTTATGTGCTGACAAGAAGCATGCTTATAGGAGAAAGCTATTGACTGAGTACTGCGCTCATCACTGTTGCTTCTCCTTTCCCTGTCCAATCACATGCTGGGAGTGGGTCCAGGATGACCTGGGCTCAGAGGACATGGGATAAATGACGCCGACCATCAGAGTGACGACACCTAATGTAAGAAAACCACCACAGGGACAATCTCTGGATTGAAGGTGAACATTGCAGAAAAAGCAGATGGTATTTTATCTCTAAATGGGCTATTCATTTTGTTTTTGGCTGGAGTTCTACTTTAACCACATGCATACTGCCCCCACCCGCAATGTACTGCAGTTAGGCAGCCCATATGTTGCTTCCAGGTTTAGGGTGTGCACATGTTGACACCCGCTGTGATTGTACATAACGGGAGTCTGTCAGCAAGTCCCAGCCAATGATTCATGTCCAGGACCTGCTGATTGGCTGTGTCCAATCACAGCCCAGAGCTCTGTGTTGACAATCAAGTCTGGGCTCTGTACAGAGGGAATAATCTCTGTTTCTCATCCCTGCAAAGCAGCCAGGAGAAACACAGAGATCTCTTAGTAAAAGCAGCACATCCTACACATTGTTAGACACACATTTAACCCCATGTTTGCTCTAAATGTTAACCCCTTCCCAGCCAGTGTCAGTAATACAGTGCATGCATGATGTCAGTGGCAGTTAGTCCCTCCCCCAGCATCGGTTAATGTCAGATTGCCCGTCACGCTATTGAAGTGCCATTATAAATCGCTGATCACTGTCAGTAGTAGTATTACAGTTCCAGTGCCTATCCCGTAGTGTTGCATAAGGACAGTTAGTGCTCCAATGCAATGGCTATAATCAAATGCTCTTTATTATTAAAGTCTGTGTGATACAGTCATGGAACGACCCAACGCGTTTCGCCCATCAGGCCGTAATCATGATTATACCATAGCGTGTAGACGCTAGAACTTTCCACACAATGTACACATATTGGGATTTTTGTTTATCAAATACATGTAGCAGAATACATTTTTTACATTTATGAAGAAATTAGATTGAAAAAAAATGTTCTTGTAGACCAGACGTTACACACAATGCTGCGTCTAGTGCATCCAGGGATGAAGACACACTAAGCCCCGCCTTATCCCTGAGGCTTCCATGTTCCTTTCCTACTACCATGGCAACAGTGGGACAGTCAGATGTAAAACAACAAACTCCACAAAATACACCAAAACCTCCGACTTCCAAACGTCGTATTCTCCGCTATCGGACGGAACCCTCCAAATAATACCCGGATGAAGAAGATGTTTTACCGGCAGAGAAGGGGGAGGAGCTAAACGTCATACTCCGCCGTGATATCAGAGAAGAGGCGGGGTCAGGCGGCTAGCATTAGATCTCAAAGCCCTCTTGTCTCCTCTCCGCCCACTACGCTGTTCCCACCCCTCCGCGATGCCAGTACAGGTCTCTCGCTCCTCCCCCGCACGCAGCCCACGGAGACGGCAGTCCGTGTCTCCTCCCTGCACGCAGTGCCCGCCCCTGGTGACGTCAGTTGAAGTGGTGCAGTGATGGCGGTGGACGGTCCTGATCCTCCGTGTTGTGAGAGCCCCGTCGCTCCCTATGAGGAGGAGGGAGATGATCGCAGCTCCGAGAGGTCCAGTAGCCCCGGGAGGGGCGGGGGCAGCACGACGAGCAGCGCCCCGCCCACAGGGGCCACTTCACATAACGGAACCACCGGAGGGGAGGAGGCCGAACCCCTCAGCCGCATGGACTCTGAGGACAGGTGGGAGCTAATAGAGAGAGACTCCGCATCTCCTCTCCTTATACACAGAGACCCCCCCCATCCCCACCAGAGGAGAGGAGGAGAGGGGGGGGGGGGCAGGAGAGCTGAGAGAGGCCCCTCCTCTCCTTATACACAGAGACCCCCCCCCATCCCTACCAGGGGGGGGGGAGAAAGCTAATGGAGAGGCCCCTCCTCTCCTTATATACAGAGACTCCCCTACCAGAGGGGGGGGCAGGAGAAAGCTAATAGAGACTCCGCATCTCCTCTCCTTATACACAGAGACCCCCCCCCCCCCATCCCTACCAGAGGGGGGAGGGCAGGAGAGAGCTAATAGAGAGGCTCCTCCTCTCCTTATATACAGAGACTCCCCTATCCCTATTAGAGGGGGGGCAGGAGAGCTGAGAGAGGCCCCTCCTCTCCTTATATACAGAGACTCCCCCATCCCTACCAGAGAGGGAGGAGGGGGGCAGGAGAGCTGAGAGAGGCCCTTCCTCATACACAGAGACTCCCTCATCCATACAAGAGGGAGGGGGGCAAGAGAGCTGAGAGAGGCCCCTCCTCTCCTTATACACAGAGACCCCCCCCCCCCCCTACCAGAGGGGGGGAGGGCAGGAGAGAGCTAATAGAGAGGCCCCTCCTCTCCTTATATACAGAGACTCCCCTATCCCTACCAGGGGGGGGGCAGGAGAAAGCTAATAGAGAGAGACTCCGCATCTCCTCTCCTTATACACAGAGACTCCCCCATCCCTACCAGAGGGGGGGCAGGAGAGCTGAGAGAGGCCCCTCCTCTCCTTATATACAGAGACCCCCCCATCCCTACCAGAGAGAGGAGGAGGGGGGCAGGAGAGCTGAGAGAGGCCCCTCCTCATACACAGACTCCCTCATCCATACCAGAGGGGGGGGGGGCAAGAGAGCTGAGAGAGGCCCCTCCTCTCCTTATATACACGGAGACCCCCCCATCTCTACCAGAGGGGGGGGGCAGGAGAAAGCTAATAGAGAGGCCCCTCCTCTCCTTATATACAGAGACTCTCCTATCCCTACTGGGGGGGGGGAGAGAGGAGAAAGCTAATAGAGAGAGACTCCGCATCTCCTCTCCTTATACACAGAGACTCCCCCATCCCTACCAGAGGGGGGGCAGGAGAGCTGAGAGAGGCCCCTCCTCTCCTTATATACAGAGACCCCCCCCATCCCTACCAGAGAGAGGAGGAGGGGGGCAGGAGAGCTGAGAGAGGCCCCTCCTCATACACAGACTCCCTCATCCATACCAGAGGGAGGGGGGCAAGAGAGCTGAGAGAGGCCCCTCCTCTCCTTATACACGGAGACCCCCCCATCCCTACCAGAGGGGGGGGGGGCAGGAGAAAGCTAATAGAGAGGCCCCTCCTCTCCTTATATACAGAGACTCTCCTATCCCTACTGGGGGGGGAGAGAGAGAGAAAGCTAATAGAGAGAGACCCGCATCTCCTCTCCTTATATACAGAGACCCCCCCCCATCCCTACCAGAGGGGGGGGGGCAGGAGAGAGCTGAGAGAGGCCCCTCCTCTCCTTATATACAGAGACTCCCCCATCCTACCGGGGGGGGGGAGAGGAGAAAGCTAATAGAGAGAGACTCCCATCTCCTCTCCTTATACACAGAGACCCCCCCCCCCCCCCATCCCTACCAGAGGGGGGGGGGGCAGGAGAGCTGAGAGAGGCCCCTCCTCTCCTTATATACAAAGACTCCCCCATCCCTACCAGAGGGGGGGCAGGAGAGCTGAGAGAGGCCACTCCTCTCCTTATATACAGAGACTCCCCCATCCCTACCAGAGGAGGAGGGAGGCAGGAGAGAGCTAAGAAAGAGGCCCCTCCTCTCCTTATATACAGAGACTACCCCCATCCCTACCAGAGGGGGGCAGGAGAGAGGTAATAGAGAGGCCCCTTATCTCCTTATATACAGAGACTCCCCCATCCCTACCTGGGGGGGGGCAGGAGAGAGCTGAGAGAGGCCCCTCCACTCCTTATATACAGAGACTCCCCCCCCCCCCCCCCCCCCCATCCCTACCAGAGGGGGGGGGGCAGGAGAGAGCTAATAGGCCCCTCCTTTCCTTATATACAGAGACTCCCCCCACCCCTACCAGAGGAGGAGGGGGGGCAGGAGAGAGGCTAAGAAAGAGGCCCCTCCTCTCCTTATATACAGGGACTCCCCCATCCCTACCGGAGGAGGGGGGGGGGGGGCAGGAGAGACCTGAGAGAGGCCCCTCTTCTCCTTATATACAGAGACTCCCCCATCCCTACCAGAGGGGGGCAGGAGAGAGCTAATAGGCCCCTCCTCTCCTTATATACGGAGACTTCCCCATCCCTACTGGGGGGGGGGGGGGGGCAGGAGAGAGCTAGGAGGCCCTTCCTCTCCTTATATACAGAGACTCCCCTCTCCCTACCAGAGGGGGGGGGCAGGAGAGAGAGGCCCCTCCTCTCCTTATATACAGAGACTCCCCCATCCGTACCAAAGGGGGGCAGGAGAGAGCTAATAGAGAGGCCCCTCCTCTCCTTATATACAGAGACTCCCCCCATCCCTACCTGGGGGGGGGGGGGGGGGGGGCAGGAGAGAGCTGAGAGAGGCCCCTCCTCTCCTTATACACAGAGATTCCCCCATCCCTACCTGTGGGGGGCAGGAGAGAGAGCTGAGAGAGGCCCCTCCTCTCCTTATATACAGAGACTCCCCCATCCCTACCAGAGGGGGGCAGGAGAGAGCTAAGAGGCCTCTCCTCTCCTTATATACAGAGACCCCCCCCATCCCTACCGGGGGGGGCAGGAGAAAGCTAATAGGCCGCTCCTCTCCTTATATACAGAGACTCCCCTCATCCCTAACGGGGGGGGCAGGAGAGAGCTAATAGGCCCCTCCTCTCCTTATATACAGATACTCCCCCCCCCCCCCCCCCATCCCTACCAGAAGGGGGGGGGGGGCAGGAGAGAGCTAATAGGCCCCCTCCTTTCCTTATATACAGAGACTCCCCCATCCCTACCGGGGGGGGGGGCAGGAGAGAGCTAATAGAGAGGCCCCTCCTCTCCTTATATACAGAGACTCCCCTATCCCAGAAGGGGGGCAGAAGGGAGCTAATCCCCCATCCCTACCAGAGGGAGCTAATAGAGTGTCTACCAGAGAGGGGGGCAGGAGGCAGCTAATTTAGGCCCCTCCTCTCCTTATGTACAGAGACTCTCCCATCCCTACCAGAGGGGGGGGAGCAGGAGGGAGCTGAGAGAAAGGCCCCTCCTCTCCTTATATACAGAGTCCCCCATCCCTACCAGAGGGGGCAGGAGGGAGCTAATAGAGACCCTGCCCCCTCTCTCCTTATATACAGAGACTCCCCCCCCCCCCCCCCCCCCCCCACATCCCTACCAGAGGGAGCTAATAGAGTCTACCAGAGGGGGGGCAGGAGGCAGCTGAGAGAGAGGCCCCTCTGCTTATATACAGAGGGTCCCCCATAGCTACCCGGGAGGGAGCTAATAAAGAGGCTCCTCCTCTACTTATATACAGACAGTCTCCAATCCCTACTGGGGGGGGGCAGGAGAGAGCTCACAAAGAGAGAGGCCCCTGCTCTCCTTATATACAGAGTCCCGTCCCCCCATCCCTACCAGAGGGGGGGCAGGAGGGACCTAATAGAGAGGCCCTTCCTCTGTGTGTGTGTGTATTATGTGTGTGTGTATGTATATATATATATATATGAGTCCCCCATCTCTACCAGAGGGGGGGCCGAAGGGAGCTAAAAGAGAGGCCCCTCTCCTTTTATACAGAGCCCCCCACCCCCAATCCCTACCAGAGGGAGCTAATGGAGAGAGAGAGAGAGTCTACCAGAGGGGGGTCAGGAGGCAGCTAATAGAGAGGCCTCTCCTTGTATAGAGTCCCTCCATCCCTACCAGAGAGGTGGCAGGAGAGAGCTAATAGAGAGAGAGAGGCCCCTCCTTCTTATATAGAGTCCCCCATCCCTACCAGAGGGGGTGGGGGCAGGAGAGAGCTCACAGAAAGAGAGAGGCCCCTGCTCTCCTTTTATACAGAGTCCCTCCATCCCTACCAGACGTGGGGCAGGAGACAGCTAATAGAGAGAGAGGCCCCTCACCTTTTATACAGAGTCCCCTATCCCTACCAGGGGCGGCAGGAGAGAGCTAATAGAGAGGCCCCTCCTATGCTTATATACAGAGAGTCCCCCATCCCTGTTGGGGGGGGGGGGGGCAGGAGGGAGCCAATAGAGAGAGAGGCCCCTCCTCTGCTTATATACAGAGTTCCCCATCCCTACCAGAGTGGGGGAGGGAGGCAGGAGAGATGACACCCATCCTTCTGCTTATACACAGAGAGTCCCCCATCCCTACCGGGGGGCAGAGAGGGAGCTGAGAGAGAGGCCCCTCCTTATATACAGAGATTTCCCCATCCCTACCAAAGGGGATGGGTTGGGGGCAGGAGGGAGCTGATAGAGAGTCTACCGGGGGGGGGGGGGGGGCGTGGCAGGAGGCAGCTAATAGGCCCCTCCTCTGCTTATATACAGAGAGTCCCCCATCCCTACCGGGGGGGGGGCAATAGAGAGAGAGGCCCCTTCTCTGCTTATATACAGAGATTCCCCAGTCACTACCAGAGGGGGGCGGCAGGCAGGAGAGAGCAAATAGAGAGGCCCCTCCTCTCCTTATATAGAGGGTCCCCCATCCCTACCAGAGGAGGGAGGGGGGCAGGAGAGAGCTCACAGAGAGGGAGGCCCTTGCTCTTCTTATATACTCTGAATCCCACCTCCCCCATCTCTACCAGAGGGGGGGCAGGAGAGAGCTAATAGAGAGGCCCCTCTCCTTTTATACAGAGTCCCCTATCCCTACCGGGGGGCAGGAGGGAGCTAAATGGAGGCCCCTCCTCTGCTTATATACAGAGAGTCCCCCATCCCTACCAGAGGGGGGGAGGGAGTCAGGAGAGAGATGGGAGACACCCTTCCTCTGCTTCTATACAGAGTGTCCCCCATCCCTACCGGGGGGGGGGAGAGGAAGGA